TTTATACGTTCGACAAAAGCATCGCAGCCTCGCCTCGAGAAAGGGAAATAACAACGGCGAGGGAGTTGAACGAAACGATCGAAAGCGAAAGACAGCGAGGAATTCCTCTCTATCGCGGAAATTCCCCCTCGTTTTTTTCGAACGATATTCCCCGACCGGTTTAAGGATGGTTTTCATTTGGCGCGTATTTCCCAAGCGGGTCTTTTACATTAGCACCGCGCCATCGTTCAGAATTACTCGGTTCGGTTTCTTCCTGTATCCGAGAGGGCGAGGAGCGGCAAGACTTTCCGCGGCGCGCAATTTAATTTAAAGTTGTTTGTCCGATAGGAAAGTTTCTCGCGGGATGAATCTCGGGCGCGGCGGCTCGGCTGCTTATGAAATTATTAATATTAATTCCCAGCATCGACTGACATCTGCAATCGCGGCCCCATGCCCGCCAACTGCGAGCCAACTGGCCGAGTTTTTAATCGGATCACGAACTACGGAAGCTCTTAATACGCGCGCAGAATCCATGAAGAGCTGACGCGCGATCATCCTCGCGTCGCGTCCTTCGAAATGTCGAAATTTCTCTTGCATTTTGCAAGCGTGCGAGACACGCTCTCTAGGATTCCAGGATCGCTGTGAATGTTAACCTCTCCGACACGACGATCAAGTCGTTGCCGACTATATTATTCATTCTATAATTAATGTAAATGATATTATAAATATAAATAATAAAATATTATAAATAATAAAATTATATAAAATATAAATAATAAAATTTTAATAAAAAATTTAATATTTATATAAAATATAAATAATAAATATAAATAATAAGTATAAATAATATAAATATAAATAATAAATATAAATAATATAAATATAAATAATAAATATAAATAATATAAATATAAATAATAAATATAAATAATATAAATATAAATAATAAAATTATATTTACTATATAATAAAATATTTTATGAGCGTAAAATTATAGGAATTAATAAAGTAATTTCAGTATCAAAAATTAAAAATAATAATCTAATTTAAAAAAGTGGCATTGAAAGTGGTAATATAAATTTTGAAATTTGGATTGAATCCACATTCAAATGGAATTTTTTTTTCTAAGTTGATTTCTTTTATTTATCGAGAGAAGTTTATTTGAATTAAAAACTTATGGAGATTGAGAAATTGTGCGCCACAATTAAATCCACTATAGCTTGAAAATAATTACAGACTCTTTCCAGTCTGTAATTATTTTCAAGCTGTTATTCGATCCGTCTTTATTTTTATACTAACTCTACAATTAGAACAGAATCATTCTAAACATAGAATCACAAGGGGTTAAAAATTAAAGTACAGTAGAACTTCCTTTATGTACTTCCATGTACAATATTTTAATATTTGATGTCATACTATCAAAACAGAATGTCTACTAATAACTAAAAAGTCATCTCTGGTAACACACATTCTACTTTAATGATATAACGTTCGAGTGTTAAAATATTTGGCGATCTCTTAAAATTTATTATACAATTGCTCTTCGTGAAGTTATATAATATCGACAGTTTTCCACCTTTTGAATTTTATATTCATGCGTTTAATAATTTGAATTATGAAACGTGTAATACTGAAATATATTCTCCGCTGTACGCGTACTTGCTTTTAGCTGTGCAGTAACACTACTCACTCGGTTTACGATTCCCTATACCGTAAGAGGCCAACGAAATCATTTGCGTCGGTTTAGAATACGTGAATATCGACGAAGTCGATATCAAAAAACGATTCGAAGTGAGTTTAATATCGGTCGATGAAGAAAACGATAAAACTGCGATACGGTAGCCACGCCCGTATTTCCCGATGATTACCAACCATCGATCTGGTTGAAATTAATTTGCTTTAATTAATTTTTCTCCATTTGGATTTCCAACGACGACACTTTGACACTGCAACGACCACAAGCGCGAAATTTCAATCAGAGACTTGAAAATAAAAAGACATTCATCACACGATGTACTACACAAGCTTTTGTTTACGAAAATATCTATTAGTCTCTAAATATATATACTGTTTAACGTCTGAAGTTTCGAACAAAGATTGTTGATTGTAAATTGATTGTTGTTTTGATCGTTTTGCTAGCTCCTGATATTAACGAGCTGTTTTTGAGAACAAATCGCTCCCTTCGATCGTTGGCAGCAGACAATTAAAAGGTTCAATGTAAAAGCAAACAATTGTGCCATGAAATATTGGAAAATAAGATTTTTATTAATTCTGGTACCTCCTGGCAATTATTTATTATTTTTCAATTGACAACTCTGTGGAACAAACAAAAGATGTGGGGTCTTGACTCTTCGTTTCGTGTGGCCTAGAATTATTACTAGCCTGCTGTTTTTTTTCCTTTTCTTTTACGCAATTTCATACTTTTGAAAGTGTAATTAAAAGAGATAAAACCTTGATGGAAAATTGGATACTAGCTCTCGTATATTTCGTGCAACTTTACATTTTAAAATCCCCTTTAAATGCGAAAGAATCCGATTATTTATTTTTGAAAAATACAGTGGCCCTTCCTCTTAACTCTCGATGCACCTTTTCTCGATCTTTCAATTAAATTTTCACACAATACGCAAATGCTTCTTCGTTTTCGAATGAAACGATCGAACGTTTTCCATAACGAGAGAACAGTCGAGCGAATGTAAAGTAACCGCGAGTGCAGCGAAAATTCCCTTTTACAAAACACGAAATTACATATCATGTAATTACGTGCCGCGAATTCCAAGTTCGAATGACCGAAATAAGCAAAATATCTGTCATCAGAATTGGAAGAACTCGCGAGCGCGATCGTGCTCGGTCGCGGGCGTTAATATGCTTAAAAATTTTAATTAAATTTTTATCATTTCCCCACCCTCGAACCCCGCCAAAAGTACATACATCAATTTTCGCTCGCCACTTTCCACCCGGGATTACTTTTTCGTCCACGCTGAAAGGGTTAATTACGAAAATTCCGCGGGGAAAGTAATTGCCGCGACGCCATTTTGCCGCCATTTCAGGCCAGTATTTATCGTGTCATTCATCGCGACGTATTTATTCATCGACATCCTTCTGTTTCATCCGCGACGGTCGCGCGATTCCTTCTCGATAAACGTTCAATAATAACCACGCGTCTGTTCGCGAACGATTCCCTTTTGTCACGCGACACACACACACACACACACACACGCGCGGATTCCATAAAATTTAATTGAACATGGCTGCGGGTATGCGGACGGTATTTGTGCTCGGGACTCGTCGCGATTCGGCACGCGATTCCAGAAGTAACGTTATTAATGACATCGGAGTCCTGATTGCCTTTCAACTCTGATTTCCAGCGTCCATTGCCCGGACATACTGCCCTCTCTTTCGGTTATAATCGTTTGAAAAATGTTTTCAATTTCATCTGGCCGAATCTAACTGCCAGCATCGATATTGCCGAAGTTCGTTCATTTCGGCCAGGTTTTATGGGGGAAAATTCGTCGAAGGATAGTAGTTCGATCTTCTCTCTGTCGCGATTCGATTAAAAAAGTCGGAAGAAAAATGAAAATACTCGATACGACCACGTTCTTCTCCTCTCGTCTCGAAGAACCTCGCTCGCTTTTATCCCATGTGCGAAAGGAGCTGACTAAAAAGTAGAAAACGAACGAAGAAAAAATAGAACGAGAGAGAGAGAGAGAGAGAGAGAGAGCATATGAGTTAGGTCGGGTCGGCTGAATGGAGTACAACGGAATCTCTGTGGCGGTGGGTCAAACACTCGAGTTTCGAACGAACCGATTTCCTGCATCGCGGGTAATTAGCGTCGTTAATTATTGATCGTTTCATTAACATAACCGAGTAGGCTTTCACGGCTCGATAGAGAGGCAAATTACCTGCTGTCCTCTTAAAAGCGGATGAAACGACGTTAGTGAAATCTTCTGTCTTTTGTTAATGGTTAATTACCATCTGGTCGTTTCGTATCGAGTTTTTAGGTATCGGCAGGTGGTGCACAGGATGATATAAGGCTGATTTCACACGTGCGTACGAGTGTAATAAACGTTTTCTGGGAATGAGAAATAGAATCTTGTTTGTTCTTGTGCCGATCGATTATCTTCTCAACCATATATTCTTGGAAGAGTTTTTTCTTTCTGAAAACTGCATGTTTGAAGTTTGTAGCTTTGTCCATTTGGATCAGGAAGAAACATTTCATGAGAAGAAAAGAAAGATTTTTTTTTAAAAGGAAGATCGTTTAAAATGAAAGAAAGTCTTCAGCTACGGTTATTACAATTATTATAATATTAGCCTTTCTTCTTATCAACATCAGTAATACTAAATGTACGTAATATTAAATGTATTTATATTCATTCAATATCTATTAGTAATACTAAATGTCAGTAATACTAAATGTATTATTTTCATTCAATATATCATGTATTACATCAGTAATATATCAGTAATATCAGTAATACTAAATGTCAGTAATCATGTATTATATCAGTAATACTAAATGTAAGTAAACACTAATATCATGTATTATATCAGTAATACTAAATGTAAGTAAACACTAATATCATGTATTATATCAGTAATACTAAATGTATTATATTCATTCAATATCTATTAGTAATACTAAATGTCAGTAATACTAAATGTATTATATTCATTCAATATATCATGTATTATATCAGTAATATCAGTAATACTAAATGTCAGTAATCGTGTATTATATCAGTAATACTAAATGTAAGTAAACACTAATATCATGTATTATATCAGTAATACAAAATGCATTATATTCATTCAATATCTATTAATATATACATACGTATATTAAGATTAAATTAAATAAAAATTCACTTTACGTGGCAATAATTTCAAAACCACGTGCACATTCAGTGTCTATCACATATGCGAAACGATTTTGAAACGTGCCCGATGCATACTCGTTTCGGTGAATGAATTGGGAGAAAGGAGAGTTACAATAAACAATTGACAACGGCGGAAATGCCACTTACTATGAAGTTCGATGGTGACGGTGGTGGTGGATGGCTGTGCTAAATGAGTATTGCTTGCCTTGCAGAATAGTTTGGCACGATGCTGACTTCTCGTGAGACCCTTCAGCGTCACATTGCTTATGGTTACAACGTTGGTTTCGCCTCCTGGCCCTTGGGTCTCCCGAATCTCCGACGGGGCATCGATTGTCTGCGACTCCAAGAACCATGTGACTCGCGGTCTTGGTTTGCCTATCGAACAGACGAGTCGTATCAATATATATATATACGCGATCTGCGAAGTAGATTTGGTTAAATGCAAACAAATACTTGGGGGGGAATCTTGGAATTTTTGGGGAATTATGGAAAGAAATTCATACAGAGGTAGGTTGATGCAGTGAAATTGTTTGGGCACTGCGAATATGTATAATAGTTCAATCTGTAGGAAATGTACGAAGTTCGTTGTTCAGCTGCTTATTACAATAAAGTATAGTTCGTTTTTCTTTCAAACATTTGTTCTGTGATCATTTTTGGGGCTCTGTGAGGAAAAAGAGAATACTATGTATAATATAATATATCTTAGATTAGTTTAACATTTTATTGCTCCATTTGTAAGTTCCAAATTTTGCTCTTACATAGGATGGGCCAAAAATCACTTCCTACTAAAATTTAATTTAAAATTAGTAAAATTAGTTTTTTTTGTTATATTTTGATTAAAAAAATTTTTTTAATAAAAATATTAATTTTTATTTTAAAAAATAGATGGGAAGAAACTTTTGGCCCACACTGTATTTATAATGACTTCCTGCAAGGTAGATTGATAGTGTATAAATTCTTGGTATGCAAAAATTCATGACATATATCAAATTGGTTCACATAAAATACAGCAAAGATATATATACACATTAATTGATACTGAAATTTGGAAGGTAATTAATCTTTTATCGTTCACTTTGTCAACTAAATACTCTGTTATTTATATAGAGTATCGATTAAAAGTTTAGATATACTTTAATTGCATTTGTATTTTGCATTTAGTTTAAAGTTATAAATTTTACACTCGATGTGCATTAATTATTGCATATCTTTTAATTTTGCATTATTTCATTCACGAAATCAAATAACCAAATACTAAATTACAATCACATTATAATCAACACGATTGAAATATTTCTAATTATAAAAATAGTTATCAACAGTCACATTAAGTTACACGTATACCAACACGTATCAACTTACTTTGTAATAAAATAAATTTACAATTATAGTATATAATAGTATACTCTGATTTCGTCAATTACAACTTATTAGAAACTAATTGTAAGTTAGAAATTTCAACAATTCCCAACTTATTTCGCATTAATTTTTCATTAAAGAAGAAGCAATAAAATATATGTTTTAGCATATTTTTCATTACGTTCAATAAAACTTGTATCGTTATTCTCATATTTCAGCACGTAAATCTCAGCTCGTAAATTGCAAGCTGGTTGAAAAACAGTTAGAATCGCGATGTATTAATCATCATTTCGCCGACTGTGCGTGAGCGCAAATTCCACAATCATTGATCGTACATTGCAACATTTATTCGCTGTTTCGTACAGTTGGTTCTGTACGCGCTGCCGGTATTATCGTAGAAATTCCATTTTTGTAGTTACGTTTTGCCCCCGTTGCTAAAATTCCCCCGGTTCTCCAGGAAGGTTAAGTTTCCACGTTGCTGGAATTCCCGCCGGGAGTTTCCCCACCCGAGTAGAATTCTTTCTCCCCGAATTTCCCGAGAATTTTTCCAAGTCCAAATTTCATCAGGGTAGATTGTAGTTTAAGAAGGTATCGCCAAAGGGAATCCGGCCTGGCGATACGGTATTTTCTGGCTCTGATCCGGGACGATCGTTATCCGACGTGGAGAACCAGCAGCTAAAACCGGAAGGAAGCCCCCGAGAAACGTTTATCGTAGCCGAGAGAAATGATTTTAGAGAAAATGACCACTAGCTCGATGAACGGGCGTATAGCGATCGAATCTCTTCGACTCTGTATTATATACAATATTTTACGATGAATTCGAATGAATTCTGAACACGACTCGAAACTTGGAATTCTTCGAAATTTTGATCCAAGACGGGATTCGAGCTGTGTTAGATACCTGAACGACAAATTCGATTACTGAAATTTAATTTTATCTTGTACTTTGCATTCTCTGCAAATTGAATTAAATCGGATGAAAAATTTCAGAATCGAGTAATTTCGTAACTTGAGATTTTTAGAAATTTTGATCTAAGACAGTTGGAGTTGTATCATGTACTTGACAACTTTGATTTATAGTAGATTACTGAAATTTGATTTCATCTTGTACTTTACATTCTCTGCGATAGAAATTGCAAATTAAATCATATTAAAGGAAACATTTCAGAGTCGAGTAATTTAATTCCAAATTATTGTAGCTCAATAGATATTATTCTAGCTGAAAAATTTCAGAATCGAATAATTTCGAAACTTGAGATTTTTAGAAATTTTGATCTAAGACAGTTGGAGTTGTATCATGTACTTGACAACTTTGATTTACAGTAGATTACTGAAATTTGATTTCATCTTGTACTTTACATTCTCTGCGATAGAAATTGCAAATTAAGTCATATTAAAGGAAACATTTCAGAGTCGAGTAATTTAATTCCAAATTATTGTAGCTCAATAGATATTATTGTAGCTGAAAAATTTCAGAATCGAATAATTTCGAAACTTGAGATTTTTAGAAATTTTGATCTAAGACAGTTGGAGTTGTATCATGTACTTGACAACTTTGATTTACAGTAGATTACTGAAATTTGATTTCATCTTGTACTTTACATTCTCTGCGATAGAAATTGCAAATTAAGTCATATTAAAGGAAACATTTCAGAGTCGACTAATTTAATTCCAAATTATTGTAACTCAATAGATATTATTCTAGCTGAAAAATTTCAGAATCGAATAATTTCGAAACTTGAGATTTTTAGAAATTTTGATCTAAGACAGTTGGAGTTGTATCATGTACTTGACAACTTTGATTTATAGTAGATTACTGAAATTTGATTTCATCTTGTACTTTACATTTTCTGCGATAGAAATTGCAAATTAAATTATATTAACGAAAACATTTCAGAGTCGAGTAATTTAATTCCAAATTATTGCAGCTCAATAGATGTTATTGTAGCTACATAGATACACTAGTGAAAAGTTAAAGCACAATTTCTGTAATTCACAGATAGTCTCCACAAATCTCTCAAGAGTTTCAAGAATTTTAAGCTAAAAATACGAGTCTCCATAAAAAGTCTGAATTTATATTTAAAAACTCAAATCTCTCAAGAGTTCCAAGAATTTTAAGCTTCGCTTCAATTTTAGATAAGTATTACATTTTTCATATACATTTCAAAATTTTGTATTCCATTTTTATATTTCCCCAATTTTGAAATATATATATATATTTCAAAATTGGGGAAATTAGATACTTTATGCAATCTGCAGAGCGACGGATATTGAAGCAAGAAATACTTATCGATATCTCAAGAAAGTTTCGTCACTCGAGTCCAATCGGTCCCGACGCTTTACTTCACGATCCCGCAGCCTCATAGAGACACACCACCACGTACTTGACGGCAAGCATTCTCCGCCGCTTATCCGTGGCAAGCAGCTTGATCGCCAGTTAGGACAATTCGAGCAGTTGGACTAATCCGAATGGACGACGTATCGAGACTATGTTCGTGTTTACGAATGTGTATCAGAGGGACTCGGGGCTGATCGTCAATCACGTCGCTCGACAGGACTTGCTCGGTCGCGGCATTAACGATCTCGATAGAAACCGCTCGACATCTACTCGTCAATTTATTGGTCTCAGTGTACTGGCCATCTAATTCCCCGGGTTAATTACACACGCAAATTTGTCTTCTAGAAAACGATGGAACGTCTATGATTGCGAGCAGGGGGAGGATCTCGTGGCAATAGCGGTCGACCGTATTTTAACACGTAAACTACAGTGCCATGTGCGTACCTGAAATAATGATTGGGCTCGCTTCGAGTTCGTGTTGCACGTTTGATGATAAATTCGAGTCACTTGCAACATGATTCGAAGCATGAAACTCTTGAAAATCCTGATTGATCTTGAAGCTTGACTGTCTCGGAAGTCTTGATTATCTTGTGATTATCTCGAAAATCGTGATTGTCTTGGATCATCAAGTCACAGTGATCGTAATATTCAGAATTTCTCCACGGAATAATATTAATATTTAATATTTAATATTATCTTAATATTAAATATTAAATATTAAATGTTAAAATATTTAACATTATCTTAATATTTTAATATTAAATTACATTATTTTAATATTTTAATATTAAATAAATATAAATAAATATAAAATTTAATATTAAATATTAATATTAAAATATTTAACATTATCTTAATATTTAATATTAAATAAATATAAATATATAATAAATATAAAATATAAAATAAATATAAAATTTAATATTTAATATTTTAAATATATTAAATATTAATATTAAAATATTAAATATTAAGATAACGTTAAATATTTTAATAGTAATATTTGATACACTAGTTACAAATAAGAAACTCATATTACTGCTGAGCCCAATAGTTTACAACATTTTATTGGTATCTTTTTTTTTTGATGCGTAATTAGGATATAATCTTCATCTTATGAACAACAGTTCTAACAGATAAAATAATATTAAATCTTACTTTTCTGAATAATAAAGCTAATCTGTGACATTTCTCATAACTCTTCGCACATTATTCATTTGATTGCGAATTAATTCACAATATAAAAGATTATTTGGTTCTTAAAAGTTAATACTTACGATGACTTAGAGATTTATGAACGTTCCAGTCGTCATCAATCATACATTCCGTTCTATCTAATGATTCGAGTTGTATTCGACAAAACAGAGTCTTGACTTGTTATTACACATCTCTGAGATGCAAGAGAAGAACAAAAACACAAAACAGGGATATTATTCACAGTGCCTAAATAATTTTTACAGGCGAATGACGTTTCATTTGAACATCAACGAGCTAAAATGGGGCTCGAACGATGAAAGATGATAAAATATTGCAAATTAAATATTAAACGGAACGTGTAAATTAAATATCGTGTTAATGAAATATTGAAAATTCGAATTTTTATTGGCCAGGGAGAGTCGCAGCTTGGCCAAGTCGAGTGCCGCAGCATCTGACAGGAAACCGCGCGAGTAAGTAAACG